CCCGCCCCCGCCGAGAGTGGCGGCGCCGTTGCCGGATATCCCCGGCCAAACTGTTTGAGTGCAATGGTTTTCGAGGATAAACACTGCGGCAGATGCTACGTTACCTCCTGCAAATATTTTCATGCATGTATTCAAAGAATGCAAATATATTCAATAATTAAAAGTAAAGGTTAAATTTAAATAATTTTTTTAAAAGTTTATCTATAATCTATTTTATAACATATATAAATTGAAGGTAATAGTTTGATTATAATAACTTTTATATTACTTGTTTTCATTATTTCTTCTTATATTATTTTATTTATATTTTTTTTTTCTACTTTCTATAAAATTTTAACTAGTTAATAATTACATATTCTTTATTTTTTAAATAATAGAAGTACCTAGTGTTTTATTCTCACTAATGTAAAATAAGATGTTTTTGATTTTTTTATTTTTGTTCTTGTAAAAAATTGTTTCATTTTTGTCATTTCTGTTGACCATTAAATCTAATTAAAAAATTCAAAAATTATATACATCAAAATAGAAAAATAAAAAAATTATAGAAACTATAAGTAGGAAATGCCAAAATAAAAACAACCAAAATTTATGAGGATCAAAAAGTAATAACATAAATTTAAGATGATCAAAATAAAAATAATTTTAAAAAATTAAAACAAAATCGACCTTATTTTATAAAAACTAAATATTTATTTGAATCAAATTTATAAAGTTTGAATCTTTAAATACATTAATACATAAAAAAACAAAATAATTATAACAAATACATGAGTGACTAAAAAAATTATAAAAAATAAACGTACAACATCGTAAAATAATCTAATAACGCAATCACCTTTATAAATGTACAAATGATAATTACAACCAAATAAGTAAAAAAAACATAAATAAAATAAAGATAAAAAAATTGATCATAACATATGAACATACAATAATAATAAAAAAAAAGGCGAATATTGAATAAAACTACATCGTAACACAATATTCTAAAACTTTAATATTGCCGTCACAATTACACTCACAAATAGTAATTTAAAACCTTAGCACATATCTATCGTAATACGATACTCTAAAACTTTAATATTACCGTCACACTTACAATCACACGTAGTAATTTAAAACCTTAGCACATATCTATGTACATATATATGATGTTAAGTAGTAATTGACATGCGTGTGTGTTTTGGGGAGAGTCGATCCTTGTTTACCTAATATAAAGAGGAGCATGTGGAAGAGTATAGAGGTTTTTGAGTTTGGGTTTAGGGCCATGATTTTGATAGTAGAGATGAAAGAACGACAGTGTGAAACTTAGAGCCTTAGAGGGTGTAATGCAACACAGAGTTGAGTGAGAATGTTAAATGAGGCTGTATTATATGTAGTGAATTTATATTCATGTAATTATTATTTAAGAATTGGGCACCTATCTTTGTGTGAGAAATTTAATATTGTGGGGTCATCTTGTGATGATAGTAAATACTCTATTAAATACTTATTAAGGTAATGGGTAATCTTTGTTCAAGGGGCAATGGGTAAAATATAAAAAGAAATTGCTCTTCATGAAACAACCAATCAAGTTGCTTTGTACTACAAAAGAAAATGAGAGTTGCAACTTTGGAGGGTGAAAAAAGAAAAAATATTAGGTGGAATGGAATGCATGATTTCTAATTAATTTTTATATAACAAGTAATTACATGTTATTAATTGGTTGAGAGAAATATTTGGTGTTCTTAGACTACTTAATACACTAAGAAGTGGAAATAAATATAACTGGGGGAGGACCGGAGGAGAGGATTTGGAGATGTACTCGAAGAGAGCACAATGGAACCTAATTGTGTGAGAGATTTGTTCCATAGATTTATGACGTGTATCCATAGATTGTTGGAGTTGTGATTGCATATCACTCACCCAGTGATGGCTTGAAAAGTCCACCTCTTTAGAGCTTTGTTTAGGAGGCATTGAGAGGGAGAACAAAAGCACAAAAAAGAAAAGAAAAGAAGCATTAGGTTGTTGCTATTAGCTAGGGTTAAGGTTCAAGGTAAGAGAATAAACACTAAAAAATTTAACAACCAAGATCCATGAAAAATAATTTGCAGATAAAGATTAAATTGATTTTAAAAAATAGATCCAATTAATTTAATCACTTTTATTCACTTAATTCGTCATTCATTCAGTTTGGTTTAAAATTAAATTTTGATCCAATCTAATTTAAAACAATTTAGACGGATCAATTTTAAATATTTGTCTTATTTTATTAAAAAATATTAAATAAATAATAAGATATATAGTGAATAAAATAAAAAAGAGTGAATATCTGTAGATATCAAAATAATAATAAAAAAAGTTAAAATCTATTGACACAAACTTTTATGTGCAGATACTTTTAATAACTTTTTTTAAATACAAATTTAATTAATTCAATACTTGGATTATGTGATATTATACTAAATATTATGTTTATCAAATTTTACAAATAATTTATGCAGCTTTCTTATCTCTTGGTCAGCATAATTAAAAAAAAAATAGTTTATTTTAATTGTTGACTATATCAATAATAAGAGTGATAAAATGAGTCAACTTACTTAAAGTTGAGGAGGGCAAATTGATCTACCAAAGAAATAAGATGGGATGGGTTAACCTACTAAAGAAAATAGGTTAAAAGATGTAACACACCCTATTTAACAGTGAGTTGACAAATTGATCCTCTTTAATGAGTTGAAAAGTTAAAAATTAAAAATAAATTTACAGAACTTGATAATTATATTTATATATCTTTATTCAAATATTTCTAAAAGATATATTTAATTAAAATTATTTTTAATCAACAAGAATAAGTTATGTGATAATACTAGAAATGTATAAAAAAATATATAAATAAATCATATCATAATTTCATTAATTTAAAATAACAACACATACTTAGATAAAAATTCAGTTTAGATTCAACAAAAATAAATCCAAAATCCAATATAATCTAGTATAATTTTTTTTATTTTCATTTTATTCAAAATGTCATTTATTCAACTTTTTTTGGGAATTTTATCGGACATCTAGTTCTAGATTTTTCATTACCCATTGTGTGTTTTGGTCTTTATTTTGGGCTTGTAGTAGTGTGTGGCTGAACTTCGGCCCGCTACCACAGTAACTGATGGTGGCCTCTCCCTTATTTAACGAAGCTCATCATGCAATTTTTTTAGAGTTAATCATCCATACATTATCAGTGTAAAATTTTTTACATTGACAACTAATATATCTTTTAAATTATTTTATTTTATTTTTGTTTCATTAAATAAACAACTGACATGATACTATTAAAACATATGATTAGTTGTCAGTATAGTATAGGTGATTAACTAGTTAGGCCATTAAATTTTTTACATGTCATTTTTAATAATAAAAATATATCATTTTTAATCAATAATTAATCAGAAAATCAATGAATCATATCTTTGAAAATATCTTTAAAAAATCCACAACCTTGAATTAAATATTTGAAATATTAAAAATTGAGTGAAAATTTGGAGTTTAAAAAAAGTTTGAAGTTAATAGTGTAAAAAAATAAGTTTTAAAAAATTATATAAATGAACTAGTGACTGTCTTGATTCTTGATTGCTAGAAATAAAATAATTAAGAAAAAAAGAGAGTAATGTATAAAAATAGTTAGAGAAAGATATAATATAACACAAGAAAAAGAGTGGAAGATGAGGATGCGGATAATTTAAATAATTTTAAAAATAAAATTTATTTTAAAAATAAATAATTAAAATAAGATTTAAAGAAATTTTTGAAAAAAAAAATAAACAAGAAAAACATATCTATTAAAAATGAGAGGTGTATATAACATTTTTCTTTAATTATTGTTGGCTAAGTTCTTCGGTTTGTTATGTCAAAAGGGAAAAGTTCATCGGTCTGTTTCCAAATTATTGGGCCACAAAATTTGTTATAATTAGATTTTAGTATAATTTTTCACAATTAAATATTAATAACTTGATTAATATTAACAAAACTACAAAATCTTTAACAAAGTACGAATTTATAACTTAATTTAAAAAAAAACTTTATAATTAAGATTTTGTAATATAAATTTTAATGAATTTATGTTATAAAAATTTATCAGATTTTAAAAATATTTTATAAGATTTCAGAAAAGATAATAAAATTATTAAAAAACAATACAATTAATAATAAATAACATAAATAATAAAATTTGAATACTGAAAATTAAAATCAATCTTTTACTTCGTGCCTTCTATGCATTATTATTATTATTATAATGCATTGAGAGTTGAGACCACTAGCTAGAAATAACCCACTAATAAATGCCATTATTATTTTGTAGTGTGAGACCATAATTTATTTTAAGGGCCAATAATCGGATGTGTCATCTAGTTTGATGCAAAGATTAAAATCAGCAATAAAAGAAAAGGGGAAAAATACACAACATATTCTAACATCTTAAACAAAACCATAGAAATTTTCATATTATTATTTTAATCGATGTATCCTTTCATTGAGAGTAAAAGAATTGGAAATACACAATATACATAATTTGTGTAGAGTCCAGACCAACATCTAAAAAAAAAGGAGAGAAAAATATGTGTATGAGATTCATGAGGTGGGGCAGAAGGTGATGGTGTAATCAGATCCAGAACAAGTGCAAGTGCTGGAAGCATCATCGTAAGCATAACTATACGCTGCCGGACACGCATTCTTGAATATCTCCGAAAAATGCGTCGGAGAACATGTCTGCGGCGTCGAGTGCTCGCCGGTGCAGCAAAACTCCGGCGTGTTGAAAGCAATGCACGCGCTCTTGCACGCCACCACCGCGCCGCCGTTCCTCACCTGCAGCTCCGCCGGGCACCCGCGGTTGAGGTCCGACACGCACCCCGCGAACTGGCAATCACCGGTTCCCCCGGTAGCCCGCACTCCCATGCCCACGTTGTAACCGTCCACCAGACTCACGTCGTAGAAGTCCTTGTTGCCGTTACTGGCGCTTCCGATCGTAAACTCCGCCAGCGTCACCGGCGGGGCGCCCCC